TAGCCCTGACACAAGCTGACGACTTCAGAAACTGTGCTCGGATTTCTAGCCAAGAGCACTTGAAATGCGCCATCGTCGATGCCCTTCAGGATGTGTTTGACCTTGTCCGACTCAGGCATGGTGTCATTCGCGCGTCGACAAAGGTCGACAACATCCTCAATATAGCTGGTGAAATTTTCGCCAGTCTGCTGAGAGCAGACGCGCAAGCGCTGTTCTGCCCGCTGCTTGCGGACAGCCGGCCGACCAAACACTTCAGCACATGACGTCTTGAAGACGCTCCATGTAGGGATGTTGTGTTTGTGGTTGTTAAACCACAATTCTGCGACGCCAGTGAGATAAAATATCACGTGGCCCAGCTTGTCGGCTTCATCCCACTTATTGTTGGCGCTCACCAGCTCGTAGTGCTCAAGCCAGTCTTCAACGTCGGTCCCATCCGCACCGCTGAAGACCTTCGGGTCCCGTAGCCTAGGATGGCCAGGGCAGTTGAACTGGGGTGACGATGCCGATGGGTTGGCGTTGTCAGTCATGGCGGGCGATAGTGTGCGGCTTCGCAGTTCCAGGGTGTAGCGATGGGGATAAACAGCACTCTCCACTAAATTTGACGAGGTTTATTAGTCGATAACGACAACGGCAAGACAGCGTTAAGAACCGTCCATTGCAACTATCCAGCAGAGATCAGCACAGCAGCGAGCCGAAGCACGAGCCGAGAGAGCCCGGCGTTGGCGATGCTGCGCGCCGCAGGCACATCTTCTTCTTCACATATGGATTGATGCGTACATGGTCAGCGGTGCGGGCAGCTGCGTAGTCGATGTTGGCGAGACTGCAGAGAGTTTGCAGCAGGACACCGTTAGTTGTAGTGCGGAGGTCAAGTCCTCCTCCCGGTCTGAAGACGATTTTGAAGTCCTCTGAAGGGATTTGAGGGGAGCATGACGACAAAGAGCGGGAGCACTAGGGCTGGTGTTCGGCGGTCGAGAACTCTCCTGCGACGGGGTCGAGGAAGGCGGCGTTGAAGTGATGGGCTGGTGGGCCGCGGCTGCAGGGTGTGCTTTCACTGCACGGATCCAGCGTGAGTCAGCTTTGAATTCAGCTGGAATGATGGATTCACCATCGACTTGGTAGTTCCTGTCGGCGGCTTGAAGATTCAGGAACACTTTCGGTGGAGGCGGCGAAACGCGAGTGGCGTCAGCCGCTGTTATAATTCAGAACGCGGCTGTGCGTTCCGCTGGGGCGCGTAGTCAAGCGGTGCCCGATAGGGCACGTCAGCGGCATGGCAAAGCACAAAAGCGGTTTAGAAGTGTCCAAAACGGGAGTGATTCGACTCCGAAGGTGTTAAAATTATCCGCTCACTTTCGCGGATGCACTGGGGAAGTTTCACGAAGAAAGGGCGAAGAGTTGCGGTGAAACGGGCCAAGATGTATGGAGCTCATGCGACGCACGTCCGTCCCCTCCGCTGGCAAGGCGCTTCTCCCGTGACCGGTGGCGACCAGCGCGAAATCCGACACGCTGCATTTGGCGCCGATGACGTTACCCAGACAGCGCTGCGTCTGCCTCTCTTCGTGATGGAAGGACGCTGGACGCACTCAAATGCGTATGCGTCAAAGCAACGCATCGCGGCACGCGACCTGGCGAGGCATCACTGGCGTGACACGAAGAAACGAACGCCGGCGCATACGCGCTCCTGGTAACGTTGAAGTGTATTGGCGCCTTGGGTGTGTAATGTAGTCCTGTTCTTACATGACACGTATTTCATCATTATCATGTTTGTATCAGTCACATACGTTTGTAATGCATTCACGTTCCGTAGTACCTAATTTTGTATATGCGAAGCTAGCCAAACGGCCGCCAGCTCATCATGAGATCAGATAGATAGATAGATAGATAGATGGATAGATAGATAGATAGATAGATAGATAGATAGATAGATAGATAGATAGATAGATAGATAGATAGATAGATAGATAGATAGATAGATAGATAGAAGATAGATAGATAGATAGATAGATAGATAGATAGATAGATAGATAGATAGATAGATAGATAGATAGATAGATAGATAGATAGATAGATAGATAGATAGATAGATAGATAGATAGATAGATAGATAGATAGATAGATAGATAGATAGATAGATAGATAGATATCGTTGCCGCCGCGGCGACTGTAGCACCTCTTTTGCGAGGGGCGCAGTGCGTGACTTCGTATATGCGGCATTTTCGCTGTTAATTATTGCCACGTTTGACGTTGCTCCTCTATCTATCCATCTTATCTATCTTATCTATCTATATTTTAGCTCTCCTAGTTGTTTGGATAATGGTATCATTACCAAACTTGGTATGGCAAAACATGACTGTATGACGAGCATATTTGACTAGTCATATGAAAATCATGACATGGATGTCTTGATTTTCATGCCATTTCGTTAGCGTCACATATACCAAATTTGGTATTAGGTTACGTAAATGGACGACATGGGTAAATGCCACCTCCAAACATGATAGTGAGGACATGCGTGTCATGTAACATGGCTACATGCCAGACTCATGATGCGATCGCAGCCGTTTTCCTTGCTTCACATATGTCAAATTTGGTACTACGTGACGTCAATGGATGACGAAGGTATGTGACTGATGCAAACATGAAATCATGAGATGCGTAGATGCGTGTAATGTGACAACATGACTACATGCTACAGTCAAGGTGCCAATACACTTCCACTTGACACAGCGCACGTGCTCACTGGCGTTCATTTCGTAGCGTCACGCCCGCGTTGCCGCGCCAGTCGCCGGTCTTGCCATATACTCGCAGGTGGGCGCAGCGTTGCGTTGCTTTGACGCATGCGCGTTTCAGTGCGTGCGGCATCCCTCCGTCACGTAAAGAGGTTGACGCAGTGCTGTGTGGGTAACCTAGTGGGCGTGAAATGCAGCATGTCACGTTTTGCGCCGTTGGCGTCGGGCTTTGCCGACGAACGCTAACGGACGCTGGTCGCGCCTGGCGCAGACTATACAGTTCTAAGATTTCACTAACTTATAGCGTCGCTGTGTCCAGCGTGCGCGCGCATCAAGGTTACGTTGAAGTATATCGGCCCTTCATGATTCACTCGCGGCCGTTTCGCTAGCTCCACATATACCAAAATTGCTGTTACGTGACGTCAATAGATGATGAAGGTATATGACTGGTGCAAAGATGACAATCATGACACGCGTGTGAGCATATAACATAGAGTGCTCGTGGTTGTTTTGCTAGCTTTACATATACTGTATTTGGCATCACATGACGTGAACAGATGATGAAGGTAAACGACACATCCAAACATGATGATCATGACACTGAAGTCATGTACAATATAATTTACCTCCACCTCGTACGTTGTGGTGATTTTAAAGTAACATATCAGCCTTCCTTATTCGCGCTTCGCATATCATCGATTCCCACTGTACGTGGGATCTGCCAACTTTTTTTTCTTTCTTGCGTTTACATATTGTTAAGCATATTGATAAGCGGTGGTAAGGTTGTGAGCACAAGCTTACCACCGCTTATCATCCACACACAAATGGATTGACCGAGCGTCTGAACCAAACGCTGACGCAGATGCTGTCTATGTACGTTTCACCAGATCACCGCGACTGGGACAAAGCACTCCCCTTTGTCACCTTTGCGTACAACCCTTCACGGCACGACACAGCTATATAGTTATTCTCCGTTTTATTTGCCATTTGGCCGACATCTAGCGTTACCATTTGACACTCTCCTCCCTTCGACTGCCCCCTGTCTACTGAGTACGCCAGCGATGTCGTTTCTCGAGCCCATGCAGCCCGTCAGCTTGCCCATGATCGGCTGCACTTGTCGCAAGAGTACAAAAAAAACCGTTATGACAGTCGCCACCAAAGCGTGCACTTGCCTACGGGGTCTCTGGTACTTTCTCTGGACGCCAAACCGCCAAGTCGGCTTATCAGAGAAGCTACTACCACACTACCATGGCCCCTACAAGTGTTACGACAACTCAGTGACGTGAGCTACGAGATCACGTCCCTAAACAATGCCTCTTCGACCCCCTCACTCCAGACGGACGTTGTCCACGTTTCCAGACTCGGACCGTATCACCCTGCTAGTTCGCTGCCGCCGTACCAAGCGCCGTAACATCCGCCGCTGGGGAGTGATGTTACGGTGCATCATTGACAGGAGCAAGCGTAGCACTTTTGCGAAGAGGACGAAGACGCTTGTGCGTTTAACGCTTGCGCGAGAGGCAACTCAGCCATCTTGTTCGGTTCTCTGTGGACGCTATATATACTGTAAGCCTAGATCTCGCCCCGTCATAATATATATAGATAACGTATGCATATACGGTGAGTGACGGCGACGCGGACGCCGGTGGCAAAATTCAACCAAGAGTGTCCATATATTTGCTATCACAAATGAAATAATTTTTGCCCGTAGCTTCAGAAGTTTATCAATCTTAGCTAATCAAGCAACCATTAAGGGCAGTAACCTGCACTAATGCCTAGCTTTAATTGATACTCGGTCGTAGTACCGACCGCACACAGCACGCGTTTTCACAATGGCAAAATGATCCAGAAATAGGAACTTCGAACGACACATTCAGGTATTTCCCGACAGCCATGAACACTTAAAGCACATTACCCAAACGTTTACTGTACCTAGCATCAGTATTCTTGCAGGCATACTTGCATTCCTCTGTTTGTACCACAGCGTTTCATGCATGCTTCAATTTCTTGTTTTGATAGTGTTTTTTTTTGCCAACTCCCTCTTTGCACTTGGGCAAAATAAATCTCGTGATATGGTTTCTGCACCCTCCCGAACAGGCGGAGGCACCAGATTTCCGCTGCCGATATGTACCGCTGCCTCGGCGACATGTCAATTCAGGCCGAGCGCGCCAAGCGTTCGAGTTTGGCAATGCACCATCCATGTGGCCTGCATTTGAATTGGCGTTTTACTCGCATGCCGCGTTGTTCTCGGCTGAAAGTGTGATTTTCTACTCGCAGACGAGCTTCGGACATGTGGAAATACCAGCGAATGTCGAGATTCCCAAGGCAATGGACCTGGACATAAATAATCTGCAATCTCCTGATCACATGGTCGATGCGATCGCGGTCACGCTTGTAGACACAATCACAGTGAAAATTAAAGGAGCCCACGTGGACGAAAAGTTTACCGGTAAGCTGTACGGAAAAGTTTCGCAAAGGAAGTGGTGTTGTCGGGAAGGGGGGGCACTTGTTTAGTGTTGCAGGGGGGGGGGGGTACAAGTCTGGTGCTATAGGGGGGTCGGGGGCACAAGTCTGGCGGCCCACTACAACATCATGTATAAAATTGTGTACCCGTTGGTTAAGGAATTAATCTCGGCTAATCAAGCAGAGTGAAATGAGTGCACAACGCAGCACCCAGCACATACATCCATTTCAAATCGACTTGGTGTCTACGTGCCCATTTCACGACGCATCTTCATCTCTCATCCTACGAACTTCGAGAATGCCCCTGTTACATCACTGAACTCCGTTAAACTTCATTTTTGCAGTACAACTCCATTACACGGTGTTGCACGGGGACAGAGACAGCAAAATCTTGGCAGGGTCAAGTGCCCCCGGCGACTACATCTACTTGCACGATTTTGCGCCAAATCACGCCTGAAAGCATGCTGGCAGTGACGTTTACAAAAGCCTGGCAATACAATTCTCGACTGCTGCAAGCATTACTGTTTGGGTCGAAAAAAAAAACGCGTCATTCAGTGACGACTTTTGAACCCAAAGTCACTTCGAAATTGCGACGCGATGCTTTTTCGCGAGGCATGTTGCAGAAAGTATTTGCACTTCCTGTACGTTATTAATTAAAGTAATAATAATAATAATAATAATAATAATAATAATAATAATAATACGTTTGCGTTCTGAGTACAGTGAGTGTGTATGTAATGCTGCGTTGTCATGGGGCCGGTCGTATTCTATAGTCAAATCGGTGGCTGCTTCAATGTGACACTTGTGTCAGATCACGTTCATTGACATTATGAAGAAAATGAATTATCAAGAAAAAATATTGACAAAGATTATCGGTGCGATTGTTTCTGTTCAAGCCTTACCGGTGCTGTACCTTCAAGAAGTGAAATTCAGTTGAAAGCCTGCGCTTTGTGCGTAGATGGATGATCATTTTCAATAGATTTCTAACTGCTCTCCCACCGTCGTCATGAATTTTGCTCCGGGACCACGATTGTAGCTCCTGCTCCCCAGATCTGGTCGGATTATCCTTCACCGTATCTTCACGATTATCATTCACGGTATATTGCTGCCGAACAATCCATTCCGCCGCTAATGTAGATCGTCAAGCTGTGTTTGCAAAACGCTCCATTTAACTTCCTTTTATTCGAGAACGTCTAACCCGGACCGCATTTCTTCTGACGTGAAGACAAGGGCTTTCGACAGAGCGTGTGTCCCAGTATCAAGGTTGCTAGCCTTGCATTGAGATCACTTTACTTTTACAATGCTTGAAAGTTCGCGATCATTTTTACTTGCGCTGTTCACTTTTCAACGCTCCAGATTACGTCATCAGGGCTGGCAAGTCTGACCATCCCGTAGACGATCAGGATGCCATTGACATTAGGTAAGTTGAGAAATATCTTTTCATGAAGCCCCACGAAACTTATCCAGCATGGTCAGACAACGCTATCGAGGCTGTTGCAGGGCCTTCAAGAATACTTTTTTTTCTTAGCCAGCTGCTGTAGCCCTACTGTTGTTGTTTTTTTGCCACGGTCTAGGTAAGTCGTACTATGTAACACCTCATGTCGAAATGCGGTGTGTATTTTTTAATCAGTTGATCTGAATGGAGGAAGTGGTGTCGAGAGCCCTAAAAAAGTGATGTGGTGCCTTGGAACGCATCATAGATATTTTTTAATACCCTTACCTCAACATACATCAATGTGGCCGCATAGGGAGACAGTAGATTGCCGATTTAGAAAATAAGAGGTGCTACTATCGCAAATATCATTCTTGGGCGCCAGGAATGTCGGCCATGAGCGTTGTAAGTTGGCTCGGTGACGGGATTAATGCAGCAGTGGTGGCCACAGGTGTAGCCGCTGGAACAGATCTCGCCGGCGTCGATCACTACGATAATTTTCACTAGGAAGAGATTCGTTTTAATGCTGAAAGTCACACGCAGTTTTAAGGCCTGGTGGCCACATTCAGGCATATAACAGCGTGACTTTTCGTACGTGTGCCAAGCTATAGTCAAGCCAGAGAGTAACATTTACATAGAACTTTCGCAAGTTCTGCTAACATCTAAACCCACACTGGCGCGCGCGTGCCACAAAATATTTAGTTTATTCAACGAACTTCGCTTGTATGCGAGTGTACAATTTGATACATATCATATACCCTGACGGCTAAAGGCACTCCGAGCTGCCCAATGTTCGCGCGAAGCGGCAACACAGGCAAACTTGCAGGCCAACCACAACCTCAGAAAGGCCTACTAGCATACTCACTGTGGATCTAAACTTCGTAAAGAAAAATATGGTGGTCATAAGATTGACTCACCGATTTGTGGGGTTTAACGTCCCATACCCATCATATGATTATGAGAGACGCCGTTGTAAAGGGTCCGGAATTGGAAACCACCTAGGGTTTTTTGTAACGTGCACCGAAATCTGAGCACACGGGCCTACAGCTTCCTCACCTCCATCGAAAATGCAGCCACCACAGCCGGGATTCGATACCGCGAAAATCACCCCCGTTTCTGTAGATAAACAGCGTCATACCATTTACTAAAAGTTGACACGAGATGAATAAGTACAAGCTCTAAAAATAGCTACTAGATGTAAATGCGTCATTATGTGAGCTTATGGCTCCATATTCATATTCATCAACGGTTCCACTACTTTTAGCAGGTTTTAGTGAGGAATCGAGTAACAGAATCTGGGGTCAATTATTTTCCTCTCTTTGACATCTGCTTCTTTTTTTCTTTCGAGGAGCGTCATTTACAAAACTTGCGTTGATGGTAAACGCAATCGCTTAAAGATTTATTGACAGAATATTGAGCAAAAGGGAGGCTTTTTTTGTTTTCAAGGTAAGCAGTGTCAACCCTCGCAACACCGCGGAATCAAAGCGCGTATAATCTGTGCAGTTCGTTTTTGGCAGTCTTCTTTTTCAGCAAAGAAACGCTACACCTATAAAGTTAGTGCTGGAACATGGCACATCGAGCTACCCGTCGAACGAAGCACTTTAACTAAAATTAGCAGCTGCACATTTCTTGTCTTTGCTTTCTCATCAGTCCGAGAAAGTGGCGAAAGCGAGTCGCGCCTGTAGAGGTTACAGAAAATCGTTGCTACAGCCGAAAAAGCTTTTGCAATTGGCAATCTCTTTGTCAATTTATCCCCTAATTCACGTCATATGAAGGAGCGGACAGGCGACGTGTGGTTACTCACTCATACAATACCAAGATAGCAAATAAACGAGAAGTTTGTCTCCGGACTTCGAACCTATGACCAATTTATATACACCATATGCAGTTGGAGGTACTCCGAGTTTTATTGTAATTGTAATACAACACAGCAAGTAAAAAGGTAGTGTAGCCATAATAATGCAGAAGCGTGTTTACGTGGTCAGTGACGAGATGGCGCGAAGGGCGTGCGTTAAGCGCGCTCAAAAAGTTGGCGCCCCACGCGTTGCGATGCGCGCGCCTACGCATGGTGTGGGCGCTCGTGCGCGCGCGCTTATCTCGCCGTTCGAGCACTTTGTACTTATTGCGTTTTCCCTCGCATCGGGGATAGAGGATAAGCGGTCGTTGATCGCTTGGTCACTCGACAAGAAAGCGCTTCCACGAAACGAAGTGAGGTTGATAACAACGAGGGAAACAGTGTCGTCGATGAGGGCGTTCTTCAGAGCGAACTGTATACTCAGTTGCGCCCATTGAACTCGACCGCCCATTTCCACTGGCTAAGAAGTTTATTTCTATTGCTACTGCCACGATTTTTGTGCGCATCTGAAGGTGCCTCTTGCCACAGTCAAGGAAACGCGGAAGTTGGCAAGCGGATACCATTCTGTAATTTTTTTCTATATATCTGGCACATTTTTTTTTCGTACCACCCATGTACAGTATAGTACACTGTTAAGGGGAACACTCGAATGCACACCATCAATATTCCTGGTCCTTTAAGAGCAAGTGGGTTAAGAAACATTCTTCATGCAAGTCAGCAGTTTGTCAGGGGAGTCTGAACTTTCAACCCCCAGTTATGCATATCTAAGCCGCTATGATTCCGTTTGATAACGAAATCTAAACATGCTGCTCACGTAGGTGTTTCCTTTAACAGTGGACCTGTCTATACATGTGATGTGTGAAAGCGCATGTGTTCCGAAACTGCTTCATGTCATGATTGCGTTTCCACAAGAACAAAAGCATTTTTTTTTTCATTTCCCGCCCAGTCCTTCCATGATTCCGCCGGGTGCAAAGACTGCCACACTCACCCTGACCGACGACGATCTTGCTTGGCCCGATCTGAAGTGGATCGCGTTCTTCGATGCCAAAACCAAAAAGGTCGAGGCCACAATCATGCTCCCCAATCCTGAATACATGGTGATTCCCGTCCACCCCACCAAGAAAGGCAAATCTCGTCGCCATCGCTCTAAGGGGCGCCGCACCGCTGGAATGTCGGCTGTAAAGGTTGCCCCAAGTAAGGCTAACTACATCAACTCACCTTGCTCAACCTTTTCACTGCTGTTTTTTTATTATTCTCATTTTGCTGGAGATTGTTTATTTTCATACAGCTCCGTAGCAGTGTCGTCAGGTTTAGGTATTTTTTAAGGTACGCGGAGCCAGAAAAAAAAAACTATCGGCTACTTGGCTACTGTCCGACCAGCTTCTTGTCGCCTCAATTTTAACCAAGTTAGCTATATTGTGAGAGTGCAGGGTGACGACGGAACATCCTGCTTGAAATAAAAAAATTAAGGACAGTTTTGCAATTAATCACGAACTTGCACAGCCGAGTGGAAGTCCTTGAAACGAACTGCGAAAGCAGCCTTTAACAGCCGCTGGTACTTCCTTGACGGCAGCGGGCTGTGAGGGTGCACTCAATATTTTTACGCACGTGACCTATGATCCCCTCTCCATTTTCCCAGTGCTCCTTCCTCTAGTGCACCGCTGCTGAGGTGTCCTCTCCTGTGAGACAGTGAGGAGATGCACACAAGACTTCGGTCAGGCCTCTTCTGAGTTTTGGCTCCCAGCTCCGTAGGAATGCCGCACTTATGACGTCCGATTGCAGTGCAGATCATAGAAGCAATGCTCATCTAAAGAAACGGCAGTTTTCGTTTCGTTACCGAGTGTCTACGTTGATGTGCCGTTAGCGAGTTGTGCGCTGCTGTCATTTGACACCTCGAAGAAATAAAAGGACTTGAGGCCGTAATGACATTGGGGAGGCCCTCTAATGCTTCTACAAGTAGTAATCGAAAGGCTTCGCGCCGCTGACCAACAGCTGGCGTCACGAATTGTGCCTCTAAGGACTGGACAGAATCTCGCGATCGTTATTCGTATCTTTAGTGGTTTTCGGGGGAAGGGGGGACTTTAGCACCCTTTAATTTGTCCCGTAATCATTGCAGCACCAACTTTTGAATGAGTGGAAGAAAAGTTTTCTCACGCGAGCGGGTCAAAAGTGTGCGTGTGGAAACCTACGTCATCATCGGCTCTTTACGCGGAATCGCGCTGCACTCCGACGGGAGGTTGCTAATCCGCTCGCTGCTCTGAACTGTGGCAGCGCTGTTTACGTACAACGGAGGCTCAAGCCGGTGGAAAGAAGCTGAAAGTTCTACGACTGAATTACGAAATCTTAGCTGTGGCCTCAGACTGGGTATACCGTTGCCGGGACTAATCGCAGAGCTTGCGCTTAAGTGGTGCTGCTGTCGAATTAAGGTGATGTTGGCGCGTACCAAAGGTGACATCATCACAATCGCTCAGCATCTCAAGAAGCTCTTGCACCGCTTTTTGAGTTGGCTGGGATTAAATTGTCATTATACGGTTCAAGTTGCCTTTACTAAAAGATGCTTGAACTGCTGTTAAGAGCTTCATGCGATGACGATGTTGCACGGGGGCTGTCAGCTCGAATAAGCTGGTGGGGCTACTTTAAAATCGTATGTAGATAGTTCTCGGGGCTTGGTTTTCCGTCAATACTTGGTCAGAAGCACCTATTCACGCAGCCGAACGTGAACGACGTAAGCACTTAGATATTTCGAGCCCTTAATACGATAACTCTTCTAACCTGCATTTATTATGCGCACAGGCAAGCCTAAACTTCTCGTGTGCTCCTACGGAGAATCTGGAGTGGTGAGAAGTATGGTGCCCTCTGACGGCCTGTGCGATGTCATCTTCTACACTGACGTCACATACGACAACGACGCGGAGGCCATCGTTTCTCGGGACGGGGGCCCGGCCTTCGACGTGCTCAAGTCTGTCCGCCAAGCAGTACACGAGGACGTCGTTCGGTACTTCCATGGCTACCGGGTGAGCACGCACTGTATACTTGGTTAACTGGTACCAGGTATAGCTGGTTAACGCACTGTTAACCAGCTGCATTATGGGCCAGATATGTAGGCGGCAGCGATTCTCGGTGTGGTTATGTGGTTTAGGTGGAACCGGCTAACCATGATAGTTATCCCAGGTCCTCCCTGACCTGTATATGTATACACGACCCCTTTTAACGCGATAGCGTTTGAAAGCTCGTTTCGCAGCAATTCGGACGTTGGCGTTTGAATGGTCTGAATGGGGATCGAACAAGGGTAGTTTGCGTGGCAATAGGGTTTTACAGCACACAGCCACGCCTCTTGCTTGTGAATATTGCTTGTAAATGCAGGGAAAGTAACTTTTCATGCTTTACAAGCACGTTCTGTATACATGCTTCACAATACGACATGAAATATTGCCGCAAGGATGCGTGGTGCAAGCGTACATTCCCATCGTGCTTCAGAACATGGGATTGTACTTCGTAGCTTATAAAGTCAGTCCCCCACTACGAAAGGCGTGCGCGCTACTGCACCCTTGAGGTCACGAAGTGGGTGCGTAGCAAGCTCGAAAAGATATCGCACACTGCTTGAAGCACGCACGAGGAACAGAATATTAGCAGTTTTAAACTCTTAAAAGCGAGACTTAAGGGTCTCCCATTGCTTTGCCAGTCATGCCCATTTACGCTACGCGTGCGATTAATATAGAATACACTGTTAACGCCGTAACATATTGCCGACAGCTATAGCATATTTTATAAACGCCGATAAAGCTACATACAGAATATCCAACTGTAGCATAATGAACGCGCGGTCACACGAAAAAGGCCTGGTTCTTTGAGCACCTTTGAGCAAAACTGCCTTGCTTTTTATGTTTTTAATTTCGACCCTTCAACTTGCAAACACCGCACGTTCGACATTCGCTCTTGTCGTCGCCAATACTTAAACATGTATAATGCGGTGAAGTCGGCAAACACCATCGTTCCCAACCACAAGATAGACGTGTTTGATGGCTGCAACAAATAAAACCACGCGTTAGACGCTAGTCTTTGTCATCACTAATGCTTCGCCGCATAGTCGGTGAACGCCTTCCTTCGTTCCGTGCGAAGACAGGCCTGGTTGATAGCTGCAACAAGCAACAAACACCGCTCATTTGCGTCCAAATAGGGGATAGAAGCTGTCGGACACCACGGCCGGCAACATTGTCCCGCTGGCTTCTTCGCGTTCTTCCGCTGTTTTGCGAAACGTTTGGGTTTTTCTTTTGTTTCTTTTTTTTTGGCGGTCATGCTATGACTCAGTTTAACAGTTTTACCGCTTCCCGAAGGCTCAATGCGAGGAGACGCGAGCATGCGCAGCGGGGGTGTAGACGACACCGCCGACGCCAGATTTGCCAGTAGGTGCGTCTATGAAACGCTCCGCATTTAAAAATAGCAGAAGTTGCAGTAAGGTATTCGTGGGCAATGCTAAGGTCAACTTATCCAGTCTGAAAACCAGCTTGCAGTTGCAGACGAACGCAATCAGACAACACCGCGAGGGAATAACGACACCTTCCAGGGACGCGTGTGCTGAACACCGCCGCGTTCGTAGCGCCGCCTGTCCAAGCGTGGTGTGGCCATAGTCGCGGACAATGTTCCTTTGCAAGCGTTAAAAGGCTACCGGGCCAAATCGCCTGTATCCTACCGCTAATGCCGTAGGAGTCCTATACAACAGGGACTTTATTTTCAGCATGAGGTGTGAAAAACTCTGCCTTCATATTTTGCTGTAGCTCTTTGACACTGGACGTAGCTCACGCCATTTGAATACTTGTTTGATTTATCCATTGACACTTCACGTTTGTGGATGCATGAGAAAGGCGCGCCTTTACGTGCACTAAAAACGCCAAGCAGCGTTTGCATCGATATGAACCGCTGATCTCACAAAGCCCTTTCTTTCTATGGTGGTATTATAGGCAAATTTTCCAGCGTGAATGCAGCGCTGGAAAGCGAAGCCTAGCACTCGCCAGCCGGGCTCCAGCCTCGCTTCGATTCGAGGTGCCAGGGATCGATTTCTCAGCTATCTCAATATCACGCTATTTTACCGAAATTCCCGCCTAACTTAACCCCCACCGCATAAATCTTTCCCCAGAAGTGACCAGGCTTTGTGGCGCAGACTTCAAACGGCCACAGTGACGACTCCTTTTCTTCTCTCCCTTTTTACACATGGCGAAACCTCGCCTCATTGCAACTTATGTCCTAGCGCCAGAGCCGACTTCCAGCACATATTTCTGAATTGTCCAAACAAACCCAAGCACCCGTGGCAAGGGTTTGTTTGGGCACCAACAAAATCTGAGCACCACCAGGAGCGAAGGGAGGCTGCTCTGCGCAGCTCGCGACCGGGGTTCCAGCTCCGGACAGTGAGCTGGGCCAGAAGGGTCGCCGAAGCACAGCAGTGTCCGGCCACCTAGAGCGGCCTGAGAGCTCGTCGTCATCCTGAATCCACTTCTCCTGCCACCCTCCCCCCTCAAATGATTCCTTCGTGAATCAATAAAGTAGCTTACCTACCTAGCTAGCGAATAAAAACGGCAATATTGAGACGGGGCTGATCAAAATGAAACACGACGTACGCATTTCCCTCCTTGCGTGAATGAGTGGATTGCTTGCCGGGATACTCGAAGGAATGCGTGGGCGCGTCTGTGTTCTTTGTCCCCCAAACATCTAATGTCAGTGAATTCGGGCTGGGCCAGTGTGACTGCGAAGCTCCGTCTGGTCAGTGTATGGTGCCTATGGCGGTACAGAACGCATGACATACCGGACTACTTGACGTTGTAGTACACGTGCAGAAGCTCGACCCCTGTAGCGTTCCCTCAGTTGTCAAGAAAAGTTGTCCGCAAGTATAGTGCCGATGAATGCCATCGTCCTGTGCCAAGATAGGTGTGGTTGATAGTCGCAATGAACAGCGAAAACCACACGTGCGACGTTCACCCTTGTCGTCCGAGTATATTGGGGTGATGCCCACGAACACCATCGTTCCGTGCCTAGGGCGTGGTTGATAGCTTCAACAAATAACGAAAACCACACGTTCGACGCTTGCCCTTGTCGTCACTAGAGCTTCACCGAGTATATTGCCGTGAAGACGATGAATGTCATCGTTCCATGTCAAAATGAGCCTGGATGATGCTGCTAAAAACCAAAATCACGCTTTCGACGCTTGCCATGGTTTTCGCTAGTGCTTCACCATGTATATTGTGGTGAAGTCGACAAACACCTCTGCTCCGTACCAAGACGGACCTGGTTGATTAGCTGCAACAAATAACCGCGCCTTCGACCCCCTTCCTTGTCATCGCTAGTGCTTCACCGTGCATATTGTGGTGAAATTGCTGAAGGGTCTCGTTGATAGTTGCGAGAAATGATGTTTGGCGTAGATACATAGACAAATGTCTATGTATCTACGTATCGTGCAATCTTAATATAGCCGGACCTCAAGTAGGTTTAAATATTCGCCGCCTAAGTTGAGCCCTGAATGTATCCCCGCCCCTACACGAACCTTGTGCGTATGGCGTCCGTAGACAACTACAGTGAAAACTGAGCCCTGTGACGCCGCCTGCGTAGCATGTCAGTATGCAGAGCGGTTCACGATTGACCGCTCAATAGTCGAAAATAATTCTTACTGTCAAGCCATTCGGACTTCTTTTATCTTTCTGCAGGGCGACGGTGGTTTACAAAAACTGCACTAAGTAGTTATGCTCAACTTCATTCGTTTTGGAGTGTTTACCGGCTTAGGATAATTTTGCAGATGACATTCTAATTAGGAATTAACCCCGCCAAACTATCGCTCAATCGATTTTGCTTTTGCACACCAAATGGACGTGCTTAAGTGTTTTTTTTTTTTCTTTTCACTAGTGCGATTGCGCGCACTGTCAGGAACAAGAAATCCGAGCTGATGGCTGCAATGCAAGATCTTTTCGCCTCCAAGTTAACTCACTTTGGCATGCTGAACGTTGAGAACATTGAGGACTACGACAAACTGAAGGACGCCGACTTGCAGTACATCAAGGTGAGCACGTGGTGCCAGAAAGAGAGCCGTGGTGATATGGTAATTGCTAACGTGCGACGTCCCTGAACCACGATATGATTACCAGATACGTCATAGGAGAGGGCTCCGGAAATTTACGATAGCGTGCACCTAAAGTACAGTCCTTTATCACACTTAAGTGTAATCTCGGAGCGCATGACGTCGTGGTGCGGACGGCGCTGCAGTCGCGCGCGGGCAGCAGCCCGCACGTGCGCTGACGCTTGAGGGGCTCAGGGTTGCATAGAATTTCTCACTAGAGCGAGATTTGGCGCCACTGTCTATGCGGTTTTCTTAAAGGGCGATGTTGGAGCGCTGGGAATTTCTGTATATGTGTCTGCGAGGCAGCTGTTGAGCGAGGCTCCGGCTCAAAAACGAATACGACTGCGTAAATGAAGCTTCTCTAAAACAAAACGTTTAAAGCGGATCTCATTCACGCGTCCACAACCAAACGGTGAAGAAAAAAAAAACGACATTAAAGATACCCGCGTGCCCCAATGCGTGCATCGAGGCACTAGCTCCAAGCGGCACGTGACTGTAGCGCTGTCCGCATCACGTGCCGAAATGTGATCGCCGAAGTGTGGATTCTATTACGCCATCTACTGGGTCAACAATCGAAACGGCTATATACAGACCACGTCGAATACTACAGTCACGTGACGGAGTATGGCGTCCGTAGACCATTGCACGGTCATATGCAGCGTCACACCTCGCTGGTTACGCCAATGCTTAGACATGCACAATTATCTTTACACTTTAACTGCCAAGCCAGATGCCCGCGAAAATTATGCTTCTGTTGCGAAGTAATGACGTATTTGGTATGCCATCATTCTGCAGAGAAGTGGTGCTATCCACTCTACGCTGTACTGCTGTAGAACATAATGCTCGCCTTCCTAATGATGTGGTCGATGACTATGCCCGCGAAAATTATTTCAGTTGCGAAGCAAGGAAGTACCCTTCTATGCCATCATTCTGCAGAGAAGTGGTGGAACCCGCTCTACGTGCCATCATTCTGCAGAGAAGCTGTGGTTCCCGTTCTACTCTGTAGTGCTGTAGTGCATAACGCACGCCTTCTTGGTGATGTGGTCGATGACTGTGATGAATTGTGGTTGAGCCCTTTTTCTGTGTCGACGCTGCAGGTAGCCGACGAGTTCCTACAGAAAAAGCCATCGAGTCTAACGCGCCACAGGGCTCTGGGATTTTCGCTCCGGGATGGTTCTAAGGGACCAAAGATCCTTGACGCCGCTAAACAGGTTTCCAGGTGAGGGTCTTGTCACTTTACTTCGACGTCGCGCTACCTAATCTAACCCAGCCAGAGATTTTTTTTTTGCTTCATTGAAAGCATTTTTTATTGTTTTGTATATGTGGGGTGTAACATCCCAAAACCACCGTATGATTGAGAGACGGCGTAGTGAATGGCTCCAGAAATTTCGACCACATGGGGTTCTTCAACGTGCACATAAAATCTGAGCACCCGGGCCTACAGCATTTTCTGCTTCAATGAAAGCAGTTCACCTAACCTAACCTTACTGAGCCGTTCTGCTTAAAACGTGAGCAATGGTATACATGTATGATTAAACGCCTCGAGGATTTGAGAAGAGCATCATCTTAGCAAGGTCAACTATGATGTTTGTCTTTATTGAAAGAAGTACACATTGGAAAACCTAACCTAACTACCGAGCTGTTTAACTCTTAAAAAGTAAGCAGCATGCATACGTCGGGATAAACACGTTGACGATAAAAGAAAATCCTAACCAGTCTACCAAGTTTTGTGTAAGCGAAGTGCCATAGCTTTCTGCATAATTAATAGAGACCACAATCGAACGTAACCACCAAGCCGCACTTTCTGCCTACCAAAAGTTTTGGTTGTCGGTGTACTTGGAAGACGTTTGATAACGTTTCATATCAAGGAAACCAAGCTTTTATTCTCAGCTTGAAACCGACTATATTCGAGTAGTTCGCCACGTATATCTATTGCGAGTTCGTTTAGTTGATGCGTTTTTCGGGATAACGAGTCGATTTGCATTTTTTTTTCATTCTCGATCAAGTTTTTACCTAAAGAGTACAGAAGTGCTCTTGTGCTATCGCATTCCAAGGACCCGTGAACGTGCGCAGGCACTCAGGCGGCGAGTAACAATGTTTTACCTAATGTGATGTCTTCGCTAATATGTTCCGCCACCCTGGCGGATTTTTTAACGCGACAGCGTTAAAGAGCCCGTTTCGCGGAAATTCCGGCGTCGGTGTCGAGCGAAAATTGATAAAGACGCAGATGAAACAATACAAACTTTCTAATTTCGCACCCTGACCATCTGCGTGGAAAGCAAGCGTTCTACCGCAGAGCCACGGTATGCAGTGCAAGGAGTGTCCTTAAGGCATCGTTTATTGCGTGACAAAAGCTGCGTTCGCCTAGTGGACCCATCGCTGATGCGCCAAAGAAATATGTTATAATGAGCACTTAACCACTGGGGCCTACGACGAGCATTCAATGAAATTTCATGCGCGCACTGCCGTTCCTTACGGCACAATTGAGCCAATGCATCGACAACCGTAGCAGGCTAGCAGTTCAGAAAGCGCCGGGCACGAAGTCCGATTAGGCTATCGCAATCTGCTCTTGAAGGCGAAGCTCAAGCGTTCTCCGATTTTAGATTTTCTGGCATGTCGGACGATTGAATTTGTTTCTTGGTTCCCGTAGAGATCAAGGAGGCTTCGAGCAGTGGTTCAGGCATCGAGAAACCATACTTTGCCTGTGTCTTGCTTTTGTTAGCATGTGCCACTGAATACGCCTTCGAGACTGTTTTACTGATTGTGTGGCTACTCAGATGATACGATCCGTTTCACGGTTCCCGCAGAGATCGTATCAACGAAGCTTCACGCAGTCGCTCAGGCCTAATGTCGAGATTTTGTTACCATGTGCCTCCGTATACGCCTACGAGGCTGTTTTACCGATTTTGTAGCTTTTCAGATGATAAAATTTTCTTCTATGTTCCAGTGGAGATCGTATCAGCGAAGCTTTGCGCAGTCGTACCAAAGTCGAGTGACAATGCTCGCTCTGCCGAGAGTGTCATGATTGCCCCACCACTGTAGTCTGGTGGTTAAGGCACTCGACTGCTAACCCGAAGGTAACGGGGTCAAGGTCGAATATCGACTGCGGCTGCTGCATTTTCGATGGGGGCGAAAATGTCCGATGCGCGTGTGCTTAGATTTAGGTGCACATCAAAAAACAACAGGTGGTCGAAAATTCCGGCGCTCTCCACTACGACATCTCTCAATGATCAAATCGTGGTTTTGGAACCTTCAACCCCTCATGTTATTATTATTAGTGTCATCATTTCGATATTGGGTGTCACCGAATACGCCTCGGTGACGTTTTTACCGGTAGTGTGGCTACTCGAGTGATACCAGGTTTATTTATTCCCGTGAAGATTGTATCAACGAGGCTCCAAGTAAGCGAGGATGCAGTCTTGAAAGTGGCACCCAATTCCCTTCCAGTCCTAGCATGCCTATCCTCTGACGCGGTGCATAGTTGTGGCACCACCTCGTCGCAGTTTGAGTTCTGATCTCTTTCACGCAGCTTCTGGCCTGGATGTTTAATTCGATGTTTTCTCGTTTTCCTCGCCAGTGACTTTCCCGAGCTGACCATGGTCATCATCAAGCTGCATACCGAGAACTACGGACCCGAGGGCGACCACTGGCCACTGGCCCCGAACCCTGACGATGTGGACCTTTCCGAGCACAATGCCCTGTCCTTGGTTAGTAAATAACCTATTATGGTGCTTTACGCGTCAGAATCGCAGATGTAAACGAGGCTCCAAATTCAACACGGGCATCTCCCATTTCGGCTCCGGTCAGGTTACGGGGTATTAATAAAGACTAACTTATAGCGAACGAAAAAAATAGCAGCGCATTACTATTCTAACTCATTGTCCTTGTTCTTGTATTGTAGTTTGTCCTAATAATTGTGCCGCCCTTTTTATACGTGCACGGGGTGCCTTGTAGCTACTACGCACGTGTTATTTTACGAATACTCACTTGCGATGTCTAATGCACATGCATATATATGTGACGAAGGTTTAAAAAAAGGCACTCGTGTCTGGTCTGTGATTTTAATAACACATCTGCTTCCAATACGTTTCTTTAGTAGTGAATTTCGCAGTACAGTTTTGCCTAATGAAACTGAAACAAAAACTTGTAATGTTTAACTCGACAGAAATAGGGCGACTAAGTTGCGACGTGTATAATGTGTATCAGCATTCTTAACTTCTTCAAGTTCCAAAGAAGAAATTAAAGTACGCTTTGCGACAGCACTACGCTTCGGTAGCGCTGTCATAAACCAACATAAACTGGCCTGCAATTTTCTTCTTCTTGATACTGAGAATGATTCAAAACACGTTGATACAACACTATGTGAACGTCACACAATACAGTCGGACCACATCTGCCTTTCTTAGCGCTTTTTTATTTAGCGTACAAGAAACAAAGAAAAACAAATTATGCTTAAATTGATCACAACTTCGTTCGAGACGCTTCGTTCGGGCTATCACACTTACTGGGTAATTATCAACCACCAGAACTTCAAAAAAAAAAATCCCTGATTCGTAGTCACCACGAAGATGAAAAGGTTGGCGTTTGCTGGGAAACGGGGACTGATCAGGTTATAATTGGCTATAATTAGCCGGGACACCCTGCACACGCCGAGCGTTTAATGTGCTAACGTGTCGACAAACGAGATTTCACTTGGTCCGCAGGCTGCCATCAAGGAGGACCTTGAGGAGCCGCTGAAGGAGATCTCGAAGCAGGGCAAGTACGTGATGCTCTCCTTCGCCATGTTCGCGAGGACGTACCGCATGAAGAAGACGTGGAGTGGCGCGGCGGCACGCGAGATGTCCGAGAGCAGCCTCAACATGGACTACTCGTCGGTGAGTCGCTGCGCAACTTGGAGACGTCACTGCCAAGGCTGGGGAAACTGAAAGACCCAGCGAAAGAGCGCATATCTTGTGTCCCGTGCGGAGTGGTGCCGTGTTGATCGTCGCCCTTAAAAACCACTCTATTTGCCAGGCATCTTGTATTTAGCTAGCGTTCACCCCGATTTGAGTGAACAAAGTCTGACAGCCCTCAAAGGTAACAATTGGTACCGTTTAGTCATCGGAAATAACCTAGAGAAGCAAAGACTTCGTTTATATTCACAAACCACACTCTGAGAACTCTAGTGACATGTGTTTCACTTCGTATGCCACGGCGTGCGCGTGGAGATGCAATGACATATGAAATTTGAGTACTGTCTTTTTTCTTTGTTTCTGTTCAATACATTAATCGGCTCCATACATTGACATGATCGGGAAAGGGAATGCTGTGACGAACCTTCGCCCCCCCCCCCCCTCCTAAAATGGAAACCCTACGCAAGCTTACGGTAGAAACCGAAATAATCAGTCGTACAACTCAAGCCAGCACATTGGTTCGCCCTACGTAGGCAAAAGGAATTGCTTGGCGTATGCGTAGTGCGTAAGTGTATATTCTGATTCACAACGTGATAAATGTTTTCTCAAACTCCTTTGCTCCCAGGTGTGCAAAATGAAAACCGAAAAGGACAGCGAAGATACTGGCACCCTGTACGCCACGGATGAACACAAGAAGTTCCTGGCCCTCTTCGACTCTGAAAACACCTTCAGGACGAAGGTGAGCTGGGCGTCGGGACTGCGAAATATTCGAACGCGTAACAGCGTATAGCCGTACACACGCAATTCAAGTTGACGCGATTCAAGCCAGGACACTCAACACATTGAAAATGTGTTCAGATATGCGTGGTTTATTGCGCATGCTTGTCAAAAAACAGCCTAAAAAATCGCTCACATTCTGCGTTATGTGGAATGAGTGTTCACAGACAAGCTTGCGACGTTTTGCAGCCTTTTCGTTCGAGAACCTAATTTGTAAAGAGCGTGTTTATAAACACGTGAGCGGCTCGAGTGGCACACTCCCGAGCTCATACTCACCAAGCCGTTCGTTTTGCAAGCGTCTGTACTTCGGTCAACAATGTTGTTTTCGGGTCAATTGCACGTGCAATGAAGCCATGACCGCTTTTTTTTTCACTTCGACATTGAAAGTTTGCAGCGAATCATTTAGGTGAAAGACTCCACTCCATGACGCCCATGACTTTACACACGCCATGGCAAAATGTGTTAATGCGTCTGAAATTCCATCTAGGTCTGCCGAGGCGGGATAATGGAACTGCCATCGCCGTCATCTCATAGTTTCCTCACGCACCATTCATATCGTACAGAAACCGAATTCAAATATCTCGCTGTTAGAGCCCCCTTAGACATTAGCTAAGAAATTTAAGCTGGTCTGTACAGTACAATTACAAGAAATTAAACATGAAGCTAGCGTTTTGGCTCTGGGTCAGCACGCAATCCATTTAGGTGTCTTTCTCTTAAGATGTTAAAGAAGGCCGAATCGATAAATACGCAGTTCATCTTAAAACCAACAGAAAAAAAATATGATCATTTTTTATTTTAATGTGAAAATTTCAAATATTCCTTTGTGGCGATTGTCATCTTTTTCACAATCCCCCATTTCGCTATACGCAGATGTACCGAGAACGCATGATACACTTGTATGTATGTTTGTTATGACACTTGGGTGTAATAAGGTTGTCAATAGAAGTGCAGGCAATTTCTATCTGGCTGGCATGTCGCAGGGCTCTTTTGAAGCTCTAAAGTTTTAAAGTTTCAATTTTTTAAAGTTTAAAGTTTTGAAGTTTTAAATACTCCTGCATGCAATTTTGCTTGATTCGCCATTGAAGATGCTGGGAAAATAAGAAACTCGTACCCGCCAGTGCAAGCTAGTGGCTAAAGCACTCGCCTGTTTATTCACAGGTTGTGGGATCGAATCGCGGCTCTCGCGGTCGCAATTTGTTTGAGGACCGTGTGTTCAGATTTACATGCACGTTAAAGATGTCCAGGTGGTCGAAATTTCCGGAGCCCTCCGGAAATTACGGCCTCCATCATAAGCATATGGTAACAGTCAATAGTTATGCGAAAGTAACCCTGGCTTTCACTCTGTTATCACACAGACGAACAACCGCCTGAGTGTGATGCCCCGGAAGTTCACCGGACTGGCAGTGTACAACGTCGAAATGGATGACCACAAAGGCGCCTGCGGCAAAGGGAAGTTCGTCCGGCTGAAGGCCATCAAGGCGGCGCTTGCCGCGTGACGCACCGAGCCGAGCAGCCAATGGGCGCTCGTGCTTCACACGGTGCGCCACCTGTCGCAGTCCCGTGGCAAAGACGGAGCCACCTGGACGTTCAAGCGATTGCGCCAGGATTTGGCGTAGCGACGGTCTTGCCAGCAATAAAAAAACTTTTTTTTTACTTGGCAAAGTCATTCCTTTCATTGTAAGGAGTATAAGTGCCTAGATGTAAACGAGCCAGAAGCATAGTAAAACCTGTTTCAAGGTGGTATCCATACAGAGTGTCGCGAGGTAATGGCTTGACGTCCCCTTACTTACTACTCCGCCCGCTTACTACTGCGCTCATGCGGTGAAGCGTGCGATGGCGCTGATGGCATAATATTGGAGGCGGTGTTCTCTGCCTCTTACGAAGGAAGTCGCCGTCAAGGCCAGGGCAGCATAGCTGATATTTTTAGGGACATGGAGCCATTATTTCGTGACTCTCTGCGTGGATGTCACCTTAAAACAGGTTTTGAAAAGCCTCGCGCCCGTTCACTTCTAGGCACTTTCAAAAGCAGTTCCCCTAGGGCTGGTGGGCACCACTAAAAGTCTACCATGGAAGCGTCATTTTTTGTATCTGGCCGTAACCATAACTAGAGCAGACTTCTCCTGTCGCGGCTTACCGTTGTCACCCTTTCAGCCTAGAGGAGTATTTGGTGCAGTCTCTAATCGAGCGCTTCCAGCAGCTTTTCCAGCTCGTGTCTATTTTTAGAGGTCTGCCAGGAGCGACTTGGGAGGACCTAAACCCTCCATTCTGCGTAGGTAAACACTGCCAGCTTACATGGGCAGGCAAATCCTCGGTCACAACCTAGATGACTGGAGGAAAGATGTGGACCTGCTGCAAGACTATCCCTGATGATGGCAGTATTTATTCGCTATAACGCGAATATGTGGCCTGCACCGGTAGTGTTTTCTGTTTCGCAAGCATTGTGCTGCGGTCGGACCGATGCTTCCTAGAAGACTGCTTCTTTGAGAAGCTCCTGTCATTTTAGTGCTATCAACCCGGCAACCTCCATAGTAAAATAAGTCATGTGCAAAATGAATGCACAATTTTTCTCAATTAGTGATTTACTTGAGCTATGATATTTCTAGCATAGCTGATTTTCTCACCAAGTATGCCGATTTTTTTGTACAGTGCTTGTTACTCTCGCTGTCATGGCCTATATTTTATTGCAAGTGATACTTGTAAATAGGATTGCCAACGATGAACATTGTAACCCCCCCCCCTTCTGTTAGAACTTAATGGCGCTGTGGATACTGTGATAAATACACTGCAATTTTTTTTTATTTTGAAGAATGTTCACTGCAATATTCTATGGATTAGCTTGCTGTATCTGTATTCTGAAACAATTTTTCATCCTTTGCAAAACTATCTCTTAAATGTTTTGTTCTGTCCAAAGCATATGTATCAGAAAGGTTCTTGCAAAGTATCTCTTTAGAAAGTATCCTTGAAATAAGTTTTACGTTCAATACGTCCAAAGCAAATGTTCGTCTTTAAAGCTTCCAACCCCCACATTTTGATAGCTATTCCGGAATATTATTTCAGAGTATCTCTGCCAAGCCCTAACGCCAAACTTGTCAAGAGAGAGAAAAATGGAGTGCGAGAAAAAGTGATGAAATAAAAGAAAAAGATTTAGGAACAAAAATATAAAAAATAGACCGAAAGACAAGAAAAGATATAGAAAACCAAACACGAAAAGGAGGCACATATGTAATGGTAATATTACAAAGTAGTTCAACATAATCGTAACATGAGTTCGTAGCTTTCCAAGGCATGCCGGAAGTAGCGAAAATAAGTTGTTTTCGAGGAAAGCGAGGAGATCCGTTGTTGTTCGTTGGGAGAAACGTCAGTCAGCCCGCACTGAGTCGGTTGGTTCGGTCATGGTCTGCGATAGAGCGAAGCTCTCGTTGAACTCCACGCTGTAAATCGGCGACGTGAAGTCGTAACTAGCGTTCGAAGGATCGCCAGTGTCCAACCTGCGCCGAAGGAAGAATGATAGCTTGACGGCAGCGCACGTGTATAACAAATTAGGACAACAGAGAACAGCGCGTTTCCGTACTCCATAGGAACGTTTCGATAGGACGTCTATAGCGACGATAGTTATAGCGCGAGAACAAAACGACGACACAGAGACAAGAAGGACACGAAGGACACGAGCGCTAACTTCCAGCTGAGTTTATTGCGCAGAGCGCGAAAATATATAGAGGAGACAGTAAACATGTGTCAAAACCCATATGGCACAAAGAGTAAAACTTGAGTAAGAGAAAAACAAAAAACAATACAAAAGCACAGAAAAAGGCAAAGAAAAGTCTATAAGGAAACGAAACAGAAAAGTAAAGATAATATAACTACTTACGTGCACCGAAGCCTTCGAGGAACCTTAGTTCCTTCACAGACAGAGTTTCAGGCGCAAGTAGTTATATTGTCTTTACTTTTCTGTTTCGTTTCCTTATTGACTTTTCTTTGCGTTTTTCTGTGCCTTTGTATTGCTTTTTTTTTCGTTTTTCTCTTACTCGTGTTTTGCTCTTTGTGCCATACGGTTTTTGTCACATGGTTACTGTCTCCTCTATATAGTTTCATGCTCTGCGCAATAAACTCAGTTGGAAGTTAGCGCTCGTGTCCTTCATGTCCTTCTTGTCTCTGTGTCGTCGTTTTGTTCTCGCGCTATAATTATCGTCATTCCATACCAACTAGCCCAAGCTGCCACATGTCTATAGCGAGTTTTATAAAACATTGCTCTATGGAAAGGGCTTTAGCGGGAGGTCCGGTTGCCGTAGAAATCAAGTCGGACACACGTGGTCCCGTATGACATCATACCACCACCTCCAATGATTGAATGAAAGGGCGACGTGTTGCCTGACGTTGCATAAGGTCATAGGCGAGCTTCGAGGATGCAACAGGAGCAAAGAGCAAAGGAGTGCAGTCTCCTCCCCCTCCCCCCCCCCCCGCTAATGACGTTCTCTCGGAATAATCGTAATGACCTCCATGGGAGACTGCTGGGGAGAGGGATTCATTGCTGCAAATTCTCCCGCCCCTCCCCCCCCCCCCTAGAGGAGAACTTTGCATAAACAGGGAGCTGGTCTAGTTGGTAAGCTTTCGTTCTGAAAGACAGGGCGAGCGAACACGAATACAAAAGAGAAAGTCAAGACACCGCGAAGGATCGACGGTGGTTCATGAACGGAGCTACACGCGGCCTCAGCTTCTGTGACGTTTTTCTGGATAACTTACTAGTCGGAAGCAGCATTCCAGGAGAGCACGTGATTTGCGCGTCGTGTTCCAGCGCTTAGTTAAGCATGGGATTTTCTCTTTCACTAAACGGTTCTCCTTTCGTCTACTAAATTCTCTCACCACGCGGACAAATGAAGGGCGAGGACAAAGGATAAAGAAGCCAGTTGAGAGTTGACATTCACGCCGTCCCGTTGTCTATCTTTGCCGCACACTCTAGCGTTCCAGCCGGACCATGACATGCGTGTAACTCCGCTATTGCGGCACCGTGCACAAGTGCACCGTGCACAAGTGCAACACGACGAAATTTCAACCTCTGTGTGCTTGAGAAGCTCTTTCAAGAGATTCTCGAAGCCTAAGACTTACTTGACGAAATATTCTTGAGTACTGTGATCCTTTGTGGTGCCGAACTCGATGGCGAAGATCTCGTTTCGTAGCGTCATGACGACGGCCACGGTGGCTGTCGTCACGGACGCCAGTGCCACGGCGCACACGAGTGCCGCCATGAACATGTTGTGCGAACGGGCGTCGTTATTAGGTGGAGGCTGCGCACGGAGGAGAATCGGGTTGACGCAGGAGCAGTTCCTACGTCTTCAAAAGCTCCACGAATGTTATAGTCTGACTTCGGATCAAGTGAGGTGGAACACGGTCACTGAGCAAGTGTGATGAAATCAGCGACGTTTCAGAGCCGCACACGGGTTCCTTGTTCACTCAGCTGGACTGGAAGCCGTTATCAATTAGGTAGCCAATACGTGATGCAACGAGCATGCGTAAGTGGCAGACATAGTCCATGTTGCCATACGTTCATTGTATGTGGCATTCACTGAACGACTACAGATTCTCAGAGCCAGCGAGACGACACGTTCTTTTCCTAGGTGCCTATCGCGGCATTGTACCCTAGGACTCCGCCATAGATGCCGACGTCGCCGACACCAGAATGCCTAACGCTATCGAGTTAAAAGAAGCCCCACGTTTAGACGAGTAGGCACATTTCCTATATAATGGTCACCAATGTAGTCAAGCCAACATTTCACACCAGAAGTCACGCTGAAAATGCAATTCCATTAAATGTTCCAGTTTACGATATATCGAACTAATTTCCTTTTTTTCTTAATTTCATGTTTGCGGGTTCGAGCGTACGTACCTCAGGCAGGTCTTCGGTTCTGAGTGGTTCCATGCAGATGTACCCTTCCGGGTCGATCCTGTATCAGGGCAGGTCATAGCGGCACAGCATGGGGTTTCGTTCTCTAACTGGAAACGGGTTCACGCTGAGGGACATCGGGAGATCGGGCTCGTCCCAGTTCTCTTTGGGCAACGACCGTCACATAAATCATCGTTACTACAGGGCATGTCTACGCGACATAACTAAGCTGTGAAAATTCACGGAAGCCACCTGATTTTTATTCTCGCTCGATATATTTACAGTTATTGTACATGCTATAGCTTTAGGTAGCAGAGTTGCGCATAAGTCTGGATTGCAACCACAGCTATGTGGCGAAGCCACTTTCTACTTCTGCAGGCGACAAGCTTAAAGAAGTACTGAATCCTCCTTGATACACCCCTAAAGGGGCTTTTTTCGCTGTCGTGATGGGCACTACAAGCGCTCTCCTCACACCACAGCCAGACAACACGTGTAAACTCCTTTAGTTTGACTTCGAAGTGTCGGTCACCTATAGTACCTGCAAGCAAGCTCCACCGCAATGGGAATTATCGCGACGAGTCAACATAGTTCACTGGGTTTGCTAAGTCCACCTTCCGCATCCAGCCTAAATCGCACAAATTGCTCTTCGAGTCGCTGGACGACAACTCACTCATCTTTGTGCACAACGGGGGCAGGACCCTTTGTGCACAAAATGTGCCCAAGGGTATTTCAGAGGGTGCACAAAGT